CCTGGGATTTTGCTCAGGCTACGGCCCTGGTGTGTACAACAGAATTTTTTAAAAACCCTAGCGATTTTTGGTCAGGAGTTGCTTGAAGCATAGCACAGCGTTTCTGTCTATCGGCATCAGGCCGTTAGTTTGTCAATTCTCACGAATTATCCACGAACCGCGAACCCATTCATTTTCCTATGGAAATCTAGCAACTCATTAAAAATGCACGCATGCGCAGTGGGCTAGGCGTGTCGTCATGCAGTGCATTTCTGGGGATGTCAATTCGATTTCTATTGTGTATTTCAAGAGCATGTGAGCTACAGTGTATGATTAAAAATGATAATTCGCATTGTCAAGACCATATAGGCACTTGATAAGAAAGTGACATACAGGATAAAAATAACAGGTGAATTATGCTAAAGAAAAACACGGAAAGGTGTTTTGCAAAGGGAATATAGTGATTGTTCAATCAATACCTGTAGTATTTATAGCGATGACGTAAATATATTAGGTATCACATTATATACGTGAAGTGACAGCCAGACAGCAAAGCGGAGAGCTGATGTACTGGTAGGCTATCGTTGACTTAAAAATACACAAAAATATAATAAGAGAGTTTAAAGGGTTAAAAAATGTCACAAAAGAGCTGATTGAATGTCAAGAAAAAGATGCGCAAAAGAATATTGCGCAACTGGGGATTTCCACTGTTCATTCATAGCGACGATTTAAAGGGGGATATTTTATTGCGCAGTTTGTCTGAGATGACAACCAGACAGACATGAAAAGATCTCTTGCAAATGTCAGCGACATTTTAGAAATACCACCGTGAACAGTTCTGGTGAGTTCCTGAAAAAAAAGCGGGTCATCATATAGCTAAGTAATTGTAAACAGTTACTACATATGAAAACAGGGGCGGATCCAGGATTATTTGAAGGGGGTGGTCCAGTTTTTTTGGAATAACAGGCCTCAGAGACGAAGTCGACCCTCGGTCCCCTTGGAGTGTTGGGGGGGGGGGGGGCAAACGGTGCCATTTGGTACGGTTTAGAACTATGAATCAGTTAGTCTAAATTCCAACTTCAAGAGAAGAAAATTAGTGTGATCTTCTTTTCAGAATCACCCAAATCCGCCACTGTATGACGTGGTGTTTTGCTGGGAAAGCTACTGAATCAGTTCAAGTTTGGTCGCTTTTACTGATAAACCTGCCCGGAACGTTTTAGTTAGATGACTTCAGCTGCTTTTACTTTCATTTGTTTTACACTGAGGTTACTAGGATTACACTGATTTTGACTTCACCTGTGACGTTATAGAGCATGATGAGAGCCAAAGCGGTTCACACCTTGGCGGTTTGAGCTTTGAGTTGTCTTTGCCATTTGAAATGTCGACTTTAGTATCCCCCCCCCCCCATGCATGAAAAAACAAGGGGCGACGTGACTTTTTGTTGTAAAGTGATTTGTTGACTTACGCTTACACTAATTACAATTAGTAATAAAAGGGAAATCAAATAGATGAAAAGTTGAATGATATTGAGAGTAAATTAAGTTTCATCAAGAGTCAACAAGTGTAGAACATGTTTTTAGTGTCAAAAAAAGATGGAAAAGGTTGAAGTCAGTAACAGTTTATGTGATTGGTTAGTTTCATAATAGATTTTAATTTCGATCAACTGTTTATCACATGCTAACTGAGTTTTGGATATGACTCAAGTATGAGTAATGCGCGGTAAACTCCATTGTTTTTACACCTAGAGAGATACTAGAGTGGGACGCATTTCCTACTAGCAATGCTGTTGTCTAACACAGAGAAATCCATCGGTCGTTTTCGGCAAAGCTCGACTGTGATGGAATATTCAAAGCCTCAATTTCGGCACAATGAGCTGATAGTCGATTTGGACGACAGCATCACACCGTCTGTGTTAGGAAAGTTGAAACAACTGTCAAAAGGTGTTTATTTAAAGCCGAAAGAACTCGAGTTTTGCGACACCCGTGGCTTCCTTAATGCTCTAGAAGATAAATGTTATATAGGCGTTGGGCGCTATGATAATCTTAAGGAACTGTTGAAAAAAGCTGGGGTTGCAAGACTTGTCCAAGATGTTGAAAAAGCTGAGGATGACATAAAGGAAATGGAGAGGACAGGTAAGTGTAATGATATTGTCACTGCGTGCCTGTTCAGCGGCAGTTTCAGTTTTAATACACGAGTTCGATTTTTGTTACTATTTTATTTTTTGTTTCTTTGACAGTTTTATTTTTTTTTTTTTTCATTTCTGAATATCGAATAAATTCCAACTGACTATAGGCACAGTCACATTTTATTCTTCCCCATGATCCTGTTCTATATCTCTTATCCCATGCTTTGATTAACCAATATTGTCCTCTGAATGAAGTGTAACCTTGGATGGTTACTAATTTTTAAGAGAACGGCGGCTTGAAAACGCAGAACAACTTCAGTTGTAGTTCATGTAGATTTTTATTCTTCACACACGGGCTACAGGCTGGCACGCAGGCAGGGACAGTCGTGTCGATCTCCTGGGGACTCTCTCTTTCTACTTTAGAGGCCCAGTTTTTATAGGAAATCGTACTGATTCCTGCGTGCCGTAAACTATTAGTAACCGTAAATAACTGTATCCGATATAAACAGTCGATCAGTAACACTAGATACAGGGACTCCAATATTTGGGACCGTTCAAATGAAAAATCTATCAGTGGTATCTTGTGATCACGGTCTGTGCCTTAAATACCCAGCGGCGTAATTACTGGCAGCGCGAGCGAGTTACTTCCAAAGCTGTAATTAATTCTCGGCTGCGACTCAATCATACAGGCATACAGGTAGGAAGTTATAAAGTAAATGGCTGTCGCAGTTGCTTTGAAAAATATTTTTGTCGATTTTGTGCAACAACAAGCACTACCAATAGCCATATTACGCGCCTGTATGCTTGAGTCGTCACAACTAAACTGATGAACTCCACAGCTTAGAGATACTAATGCGCATGCGTCAAGGTGTCAGAATCTCCTCCGAGCGCAGCCGTGAATTAAATACAGCTTTGGAAGTAACTGGCTCGCGCTGCCAGTAATTACGCCTTGGGGTATTCAGGGCACAGACCGTGATCACAAGATACCGGAAATAGATTTTTAGATTTTTAGAAAATAGATTTTTCGTGTGAACGGTCCCATTGTTATCGTTGCCCTGAATCTGGATATATTCTCCGGGTTGGAAGGTTACATAACGCTCAGACCTGGGACTGGCTTTAACGAAATTATCTCAGGTGTGGCGACTGTTTTTGGTGGAAGAGATCAAAAGAGCCAAATGGAAATGATGAGGTATCTGGTGCAAGGGCACGCTATAAATGCATAAACAATGAATAAGGCTCATACAGAGTAACGCTTGATTTAGGATACGCTAATGGCTTTACAAATATACTTAAATTATTTATTTTGTTTCCATGGATAAGCTAAACGAATATTTCTCACGGCGTCTCAAAATGAAAAATGAATTCTCGAGTGTGAAAAAAGTGATCTGATGTGTGTTGTGTTTTGGTTTTTGCCTTAGAAATAGATGAGCTGTGTCTCCTTAGGGTTAGAGCAGTCAGGGGAAGGTCGGCAGCAAGTCTTTGAATGAATAATAACATTATATGTTCACACCAATAAATGGCAGAATATACGCTTTTTCATTTCAACGAGTAAAAGGTTACATTATTTTTGTTAGGGGGCTAATGTGTTCAGGCTTGAAAAGTGTTTGACTCACAGTAAAAGGGGTGAACATCTTAACGGGAAAAGATTTGTGGCAACTTATAAGCTCTTTTTATTATTTTTCTCAACTTTCCTATACTCACAACCTCTGTTACATGAATTTTCTTAACATATCCCACGTTCTACACGCTGCAGATATGCAATATTGATCTTCTTTTGTTACAAGTAGTTGCCAGGGCTGCAAAACGTATGAGAAACATAATCAACGCACAATTCATTTTTACCATTATAAGCATCATTATTTTCGTAATTTTTCTTTTTTTTTCCCCATGAAGTCTTTCACGATGATCCTGCCCATGTGAAAGCCTTCAAAGTGCATTACGATGATATCTGCGCAACACTCCGGAAAGGTTCAACATTTGCTGATGTTACAGAAATTCTTAAACGTCAAAAAATCCTAGGCAGACAGCATCAAATAGTGGGTCCTACTCCTCTGGCAGCGCGGGAACTGTTGAATATTGTCATGGATAAAAGAAACAAGGGTTTAAGAGCAATGAGAGTCTTGGCTTGTGCACTATGGGATGCAGGTCACCTGAAGTTGGCATGTGATATACTGACTACACAGTACTCATGGGAAAGAGGAGCAGGCCGTGATGTTCGGATCCCTAGCAGTAAGAGGCAAATACTAAGTGGATACTTACAGATAACCGAAAACCTCTCAGAACCAGACCTTGATCGTGTGCTTGACCATCTCGTCAGTCAAGGCAAGGTCAGTGAGGATGAAAGAGCCACCATACTTCAGCAGCCATCGAGAATGGAGAAAGTACAGGAGATGCTGGACACTGTACTCTCAGTGGACAGGGAGGGAGCTGGGTGGGCTCTTATGGATGGCTTGGCACATGCAGGGCAGCATGGCCTGGCAAGTGTGATGATGTGTAAGTTAACTAGGGTACTTCATTTTATTCAGTTGTATTTATAAGTTTATTGTACATGTATTACATGTGTGGGAGGGGGGTCTTTTCGAATTATTTTACTATAAAACTTCGGAAAACAGGATTTTGTACATAACATATTGTTACGTATTTAACTTATGACAAATTGTTTTAGATAATGGTTTATACAGCATAACCACCATAAGAGCTTAATCAGCTTCTAAATGTTATTACAGCTATTATTTAAGTTTCAAGTTAGGCATTTCATTCGACATTTATTTCCTAAGTGCATGGGCTTTTAAAAAGCATATTGACTGTATTAATTTTATTGAATAAAAGGTGACCAAGTAGTGACGCTAAATAACTTTTATGAAGACACACATTGAATGTTGGATGCATTTAAGATTTTTTCCAAAAATAACACATTCCTTTATTTCTAAAAAAATATGTTAAATGTTTTCATATTTTAGCTTGGACAATTAGTTGGATGGAACTGGAATTGCTTCTTGTTGGAAAGTACAAGACCAAAATATTGAGTAGCAGCTCCCTGAATAGAGACAATGACCTGGATGTGAGGAGAGGACAGCAACTGCCACGTATGGCAGCTGGTGAGCGTGTAACATCCTGGAATGTGAGTGACTCCGGACATGGTGAACTTACAAAGACGGCAATCTGTGGCCAGTGGGCTTTCTCCAGTGATGAACCTGGACAGAGGGAATGGAGAGGCCACAAGGCAGTCATAGACGTGGAAACAGTGGAAGAGGTTTTAGGGTATAAGTGCATATATTTTGACTTTTTATGATGGGGCTTTAGATTGCCGAGTCAATGTGGCAGTAATATATAAATTATATACTTATATTTGTGTATTTTTTATAAAGGGCACAAAACACAATAAACAAAATTAAATCGGTTGAAGGTGTTAGTACCTAATGTTAGAATTGTAAGGTTTGAAAGGATTTGACTCTTCGAAAAAAAGTTGAAGTTTTTTTTGTTTGCAGATGGTGAACTAGATATCTGTAATAGACTTTCTTTCTTCAATTAGAGACCATGCTAGGAAGGGAAAGCAAACAGCACAGGAGACTTTGGCCAGCATACCAGATCTTCCAGAGAGCAGCTTATTCATACTCAATGCCATGAAACGTCCTGATCTGAAAAAAAAGTGGAAGTGCTTGCTGTCTGGCGAATGTTTTCCAGGCGCTAAGGTTCTCCTTTTTGAGGGCAGTGATGGTAGGTTGACACACGTCCCCTTATACAGGCATACAGTTGTGTTCTCTCATGCTCTCTCTCTCTCTCTCTCTCTCTCTCTCTCTCTGTGTCTTAAGAGTTTTAATAATTTAATGATGTCTGAAGTGATATATGATATTTCAATGTTTAATTTCATTGAGGCAATGTTGAATATACTTGCAGTATTTTCGGAGCCTAAGAGTTGTCTCCTTTTCTGTGTGAACATGAACTGTAACTTTAATTTTGTTTTAAAAAATGGGAGAGGTATGTCTTGTATCCAACTGTGTGACCCATTATTTTCAAACGTACCACATCTCCCTCTCTGCAAAATATTGAGGGGTATTTTACTTTCAGGGAAGGCTGTACCACTGGGTGCAGTAAAAAGAAATGTTAAACAAGGTTGTAATTTAGGCAAGTGTGCGGAAAATTATTGCATTGAAACATGATATCCCAGTACTTAAACACACATCAATGTTGCTTTTACAACATATTTTATAAGGTTTTTTATTCGTGAAAGCTGAGAATGAAAATTAAAATGAGAATTGTGAAGTAAATAGACATGCATTTTGTGTATTTGACCAGAATATAAGGCTTTTTAATATGAATGCCTAGTCTAGTTGTTACTGAATTACTTTAGAAATTATAATAAATAAGATTTTTTTATTTTCTGACAGCGGAATTGCAGTGGTCTCATCTGGGAAAGATTCTGAGTGACTGTTACAGAGACAAACTGCGCAATATCAGCATCAGCGATGGACTCACAGATTTGGTGTCAAGAAAACGACGTATGTCTACCAGATCACAGGCAACAACTCTGCCACGCATGCGCCTTGACGAACGTGTGTTCTCCTGGGAGGCAATGGATTCCGAACATGGTGAACTGTTGAAGACCGTGATCTGTTGGCAGTGGGCTAACTCCAGCAATGAACCTGGACAGAGGGAATGGGGAGGACACAAGGCAGTCATCGACTTGGAAATATTGGATGATATTTCAGGGTAAAGGTTCAAACGTTTTATATAGGTAACTTAAATATAATGGGCTTTGTTAATATTTCCTTATTTATTAGGTGTCAATGCGGTAAAAATGTGTATTATTATTTGCAACTCAAGTAATTGGATTTTGCAGTAAGTTAACCCAATAACACAACACTTTATTGCATTGAATAAAAGTAAATGAAATTAAATAGCGATTACTTCAAGTGCAAATATGAATAAAACATTTTTAGCATATTGAATTTTGAAATATCTTTTCTTTTTACCTATCTAGCTGTATGGATATGTGCAATGAAAATCAATAAACATATGGAATTTAGTCAACAAAACTTGTCTTACCTGTACATTATTTTGATATTCGTATGTAATTCAATATGTTATCATGTGAGTGCATAATATCGGATTGATTCATAAAGATAATGAGTAACAAGAAATGAAGATTTGATATAAAGCTTATTTTCCCTTTCCAGGGAGTCAAAGGAGACGGTACTTAAAGTCTTGGATGTCATACCAGATGAAACGTTATTCATCCTCAACACGATGACACACCAGGATCTGAAAACCAAATGGAGTCTACTGCTGTCAGGCAAACTTCTTCCTGACGCTAAGGTTCTACTTATTGAGGAACGTGATGGTAGGTGGACACATATGCTTTTATTAAAGGCGTGCAGTAGACTGACTCCCTCTCTCTCTCCCTCCCTCTCTCTCTCTCTCTCTCTCTCTCTCTCTCTCTCTCTCTCTCAGGATTCATGATTAATTTAATAAATATTGCCTTCATAATTCGACTTAGACATATTTTGGTGAGGCATTCAAAATGTAGTGTTTGGAATATTTTTAAATATGTTAAAACAATATTTTTGAACTTTGTTTTTTCTTTTGGTTTTATGTCTTCTTCGTTTATTTCATTTTTGTAAAGGAGAACGGGTGTATCCACCTATTTTCTATATCAATTACACCAAAATAATTTAGCATCGAAAATGAAATATATGGTACGGTGCATTTTACTTCCAGGCGAAGGAATGTCGCGTGATAGAGTGAAGAGAAAACAGGATTCCACAGAAACTAGTGGGGGTAAGTGTGCAAAACCATCGACTTGGGGGAATATTGAGTATATTCAAGTGACAAAAGTAGATTGATTAATATAGCTCAGTGCAGCAAACTGCATTAAAAAAAGATTCTGAATGAAGATAAAGTATTGAATTTTATTCCATTTATCCATAATGAAACAAAAAATTTGTCAGATCTGATTCTTTCAACAAAAGGAGTCTAACATGCTTTCTTTATCTAATCCAGTTTTACAGATATATTTCAATGTCAAACGACGTTACATTACTTCTTCTAAGTGCTTTTATTGAAAGTGAGTTTCTAGAGAAAACGTCTGTTTTTCATGCATGGGACAAGATTAAATAAGAATACATTTCTCTTTGTAACTTTCAGAACCAACAGGAGACCGCAGTGCAAAGAAGCAACGGAGCACCATTTTATAGACGAAGACACAGGTATTTGAGCACGCTTGTTAAAAAAGAACTAACAAGATTTGCTCGAGAGTAAAAGAATAAACAATATCGCTATCTAGAACATTCATGCAATTTTTATTAGGGAAATTAGCAGAGGTTGTGTCAGTTACATACGCGTATAAATTTTTTAGTTTTTTGTTCTTGTGATTTTTCAGAGGGTCGGCATTTCAAAGTGGAAGTGATGCACCATTTTATAGAGAATTAAAAGTATTTTACCATCTTGGGTCAAGAAAAGGAATATGAGGAAAAAAGATATGGTCATATATATATATATATATATATATATATATATATTAGTTAAGATCTCGAATAAGAACTACCAGCAATGTCCCATCGAGGCCAAAAATCGGTCGCGTGCGGACGGCACGTACATGTACAATAATTGGCTGCGTGATTGTAAAAAGTCTGTAACGTTTTTTTTTTTTTTACAGCAAGACCAGGCGCAGCTTATTTTGATTAATTTTCTGGTGCAGTTCATAAGCATGCTTTTGCTTTTTTTCGGTAGTTTATTCAACCTAATCATACCGGCATGTTTTGCATCAGATTCCTAACAAACGTTATATTAATCTCGTTTAGACGTTAGAAAGTGCCAAGTGGGTGTTTTCCGTATGACTTGTTGTCGATACAACATATATGCACGTGTACCATATATATGAACGTGTACCACTAAATAGATTTTCAAATATTATTATCGTCAAAACATACTATGTCACTTTTTTCTGAAAAAAAGAAAAGAAACAGCGATAAATATTTTAACCCCTTTCCGGCATGTACATGTACCTCAATATGCACAAGCACGGAAAAAGAACATGTTTAGAGCGACCCTTACCAAACTTCACTTTTTCTTAACTGCAGCATGAGGAGTATAGAGCACATTATTCATCATCAGATTTTATGGAGAAAAGGTGTAATTCCCACTTACTGGTAAGTCTAGATAAGATTTACCCGTGTGCTATTGCTAGGATTCAACCGGTGTATTGACACATGTATATCAGAATATTTCCGTTTTCAGTTCCCCCCCCCCCTTTTTTTTTTTTTTTTTTTTTTTTTTTGTATAATGAGGTATCCAAATAAATTTATCAATTATTCTTAACATGTGTGATAATGAAAATGCTAGGCCGTTATATCTTAATTAATAGGAAAGGCGAAGGATACTGAATATTTGACATTTCCTTACTTGAGGGAAATCTGTTACAAACGTTTTTTGACAAATGTTTATGTTGACTATACATGTATATTTAAACTTAGTAAGATTATTAAATTGCAGTTTCATGAAGGTTGCTTGTGACGTCATGAGCATCCTGTTCAATCGACAAAAAGACCCCAGTTGTCATAAAGGAACACAATCCCACGGGAAATATTGGGTTTGAATTATTGAAACTTTTTATAGCTCAGACATCGACAACTCATTTGTCTATCATGGAACATGTATTTTATGTATATATATTCTAACATCAGCTCAAATGAAATACATCTAATACATTTAAAAAGGGTGAAATAACTAGCTTAAGAACAGTATTTCCTCCACTGTCCCGCTATATAGTGACGCATGCGCAACCTTATTATACAGCTTTATTAGTTACATGTACGATTGTATGTGTCCTTCATAGCGGGATTTAAGATGAAATGACATGTATATCTATATATATAAAGTAGATTTCTGTAAAAAGAAAAAGAAAAAAGAATGCGTTTGACTGTTGGCATTTATACCTGTGCATGAGTAGCTGTTTCTAATGAATGGAGCTTTGAAAAATAGAAAAAAACTTCGTTCATTCTTTTGGCAGGAAGTTTGAAGACAATAAAATCTGCTAAAAATGCAGATAAATTTGCATTTGAACCTGCTTTGATTGCGCTTAGGGGGCTTTTGGCTTTGTTCGAAATCCATCTCAAGTTTTTCCATTCATTTTGAGAACTGTATCAAAATGAATTTGCAATGTGATTGTAAAATTCTTTCGACAAAATTCATCACATTCTCTTGGCATTGTTCGTACAATGACAATATCAATGAGAGCAAAAACTTCAACTTAAAGGGAAACAATGAGCGTTAGACCTTAATATAGAAAAATGCGAAGTTCATTCGTGCATTTTCTCCTTAATCATCATTAAGGTACATCCTATTCAAAACAAGGACACTGGAACCCAGAAACCTTTTGTTTTAAGTATTTAAAGAAAAGGTTTTGTTTAAAAATTAAACTCCTTTTTTCAATATTTTTTGGATGAGGCATTAAGGAGAAATTGTTTGTAGTAACATAAAAAATAGCTTGCTGGCACGGGCTATCCCGTAGACTTTTATTTCTATAGAATACGATCAATGACCTTAAAAAGTTGTGATAGGACTAATATTGAACACACGTCTTTATTTTCTATTTATTTTATTTATTTATTTGTATTTTTAGCAAAATTGCTGTGGTCTCTCCTGAAAAAGATTCTAAGTGAGTGTTACAGAGCCAAACTGCTCAATATCAGCATCAACGATGTACTCGCTGATCTGGTGTCGAGAAAACGACGTACATGTATGTCAACCAGGGTCCCGCAACTCGAAAGCATCGCGTATTGCGAATAGCGATATCACACAGAGGCTGCAATGTATTATATGGGGAGAGTATGGGTGAGTTATGGAATCGAGACGCTTGCGCTCGGTCGCAATGCGCGATGCTTTCGAGTTACGGGGCCCAGATCCCAGGCAACAACTCTACCACGCATGCGCCTTGACGAACGTGTGTTCTCCTGGGAGGCAATGGATTCCGAACATGGTGAACTGATGAAGACCGTGATCTGTTGGCAGTGGGCTAACTCCAGCAATGAACCTGGACAGAAGGAATGGGAAGGCACAAGGCAGTCATCGACTTGGAAATATTGGATGATATTTCAGGGTAAAGGTTCTAACTTTTTATAAATGTAACTTTAGAATACTGAGTTTTTGTTAATATTTTATTTACCAGGTGCAGGTGAGGTTTAATATGTATGTGTATATTTGCAAGTAATTGTATTTTACAATAAGTTATATAAATAATACAACATTTTATTGCATTGAGTGAAAGTAACTGAAAGTAACTTCAAGTGTTAATATCAATAAATATTTTAGCATATTAATTTTTTTGATATATTTTTTTCTATCTTGCTCAGTATATATATATATATATATATATATAGAGAGAGAGAGAGAGAGAGAGAGAGAGAGAGAGAGAGAGAATTTGTAAATATCACAACACTAGGAACTTTATGCAGAACTTACATGGTTATTACATTCAATAGCCTTATTTTCGATTTCATATTTTTACTTTTCTTTCAGTTTAGACCGAAAGCATAGGTGTCACATGTTAGTTGTCAAACTTAAGGTATGTTGTTTCTCTTAGTCCTATAACTGATTTTCGTTTTAGGGTCACTAGCGTCATTTCCACTGGTACTTGGACATTCATCTAGATGACATAAATGAAAGAAGACACATTGACTTCGTAATCCAGAGAGCAAAACTGCACTAAAATACCGAGAAACAATCTGAACTATAAGATATCACGAATGAAGCAAGGCGGGATTTCTGGTCGGTCAGTATAAATTCGGGGGATACAGTTTGTAATCTTAGGCCTAGAAAACGAAGACAACAAAGAATTTTAATAAGAGAGCTCTTCTTTATTTTTGACTGTGACGCAGACGTAGGTTGGACAACCAAGAACTGGTGCGTTTCTTTGGAGTTTTCCAAGTCCTGGCAGCTGAACTTGTTCTGTGCTTTGACCAAATTGTCACAAACCAAAACGGCGGCATTGACAAGAGCGGGTTTAGACTCTTGAATTGGCGGATTATGCAAGTTTTCTGGGGTGCAGAAAGCGTGGCGCCCTTTAAGTATCGTTTACAATTACCAGAGGTACCTACTATAGGTTTTGTCAATTTGCCGACTTATCTTAACTTGTAGGCCTACAGAAATCACAATAAATAAATCAAGATAAAGTCTATTGGTAAAAAAAATGCAATTCATTATCTTCGTTTTTTTTCCTTTGTTTTGTTGGTCTATTGGGTTTTTATCAAAAGATTTGAATTTCAGATTTTTACCGCCCTCGTTTTTAATTAATGCTTTAATTAATGCTTTGCTGAGGAAGGGTGGCTTTGAATCAATGGAGTACGATTGTTTATATTGTTATTGTTATTATGTGTTTGAAAGCGAAAAGGGTCTTATGATTTTATGAGAAGAGCGCGTTCGTCAAGGGGCACAATTGTACATTGTCTGACTAAGACTGGGTCCCCACACCTAGATCGATCTAACAGGATCGATCCATATCCGAGGGGTTTCTCTCTAAATTGCTTTCAGCTTAAGCGGCTTAGATGTCTGGCACTCCTACTGAAGCTGCTAAACGATAATCAATTACCCTCTAGCAGCTTCAGTGGGTGTGACAGACATCTAAGCCACTTAAATTGATTACAATTTAGCGAGGATCCCCTCGGAGATAGATCGATCCACAGTTAGTACGATATGGGGTCTGGGAATGGTCCCATAGCTGGCTGGGGTCTTGGCCAGTGCAAACACATGTATGTTTCACTGGATTTCATTCATTTGTGAATGTATACGTAAGTATAAAAAAATCAGACAATTCTTTGGTTCACTTAGCATTTTGTTCAAAAGTGCAAATTCAAATTATTTTCAGCTTTGTACTTTTACAGACTAAATCTTAATTAAAAATCTTTATTTAAAACATTTGAATCCACTTTTGATTACTTTCTCAAATTTCCGATGATTCTGATTTTTTTGTATCTCTTTAAAATCTCCCCTCCCCCATCCAAAAATGAATAAATAAATAACTAATAAGGTCTGATTGCCTTCTCGCTGACAACTTCGTTTGCAGCGGCATTAACATTGTGCTTGCACCTGTTTCGTTACAGAGATGAACATCACTTCTGGCCAGTTTATAACTCAAGGCAAGCTAATTTGCATATAAGAAAAAATGCAGTATTTTTCTTGATTTTGAGTTGTTTACACATTTCCCATTATCCTTAAAAGCGTTGTCCTTTATGTTAAAAAAACTTTGAAAGATTTGATCGACACGCTCTGTTTATTAATCAAACCAATGTGAAAAAAGCTTTCATATCACAGGCGTGAATCAGGTTTCTACGTCCAAGTCATATAATTAATTTTTGTTAAAAGGCGCCAATAACTGCACTTGCCCAAAGTAGGTCAATTGCCTGTATAAAAATCCTATACGATTATTGATTTTGTGTTTGGACGTTTTTTGGGGGAAACACAAAAAAGAAAATTATCAAGATGCCAGAAAAATATATGGGACTCTTGGAATCACTGAAAAGCATAGCATATTGAAAACTTTTTAAAGGACGAAAAACTGGTCAAGTTCTCTAGTTTTGCGCCGTAAAATTTTACAGGCATCTTGGCAGAATCTATAATTATTATTTCACCTGTCTCTCCCCGAAATGTTGCAGACCGCGTTAATTGTTTCGCTGTACGTGGGATATATATATATAGGAACCAGCAAACGATACTGTGAAAGGAACAAGGGGCAGGGTTGGGTGGATGAAGGGAGGGGGGCTTACTCCCGTCACTCTTTCCAGTCACATCAGTCTTTAGAGCTGGACGCGTTGGGAGGGGGGGGGGATTTTTATGTCGCGTGAATATATTCATGTCATTCAAATGAAAGAGATGGTGTCTATTTCTTTGTTAAAAAAGACCGCGTCACAGTGTCATACAGTGAAAACGAACCCATGCCCGGTTTGTACATTGTGGGTGTACCAGCAAAGAAGGCAGGTGTTCAGGGGCGGATCCAGGATTTTTTGAAGGGGGGTCCGCGGATGCAAAGCCGACCCTTCCCCCCCCTCTCCCCCCCCCTTTCCCACTGGGCGGGGGGGGGGGGGGGGGGGGGGGTGGGGGCCCCCCCAAAATTTTTTTTCGGTTTGGGGTATTTTTCATTTATCAAAAATTTTAAGAAAAAGGGGGGACCGAAAATGGAGGGGGGGGGGGGACCCCCCCCCNGGTTTCAATGTCCCATTGGCATGTGAAATGTGATATCCACCGGTAGATAACGTTCGTGTTGCATTCGGTTAGGAGTAACCGCCCTCCCCCCCCCCCCCCCCCCCCCCCCCCCTTTCCCCCGGGGGGGGGGGGGGGGGGGGGGGGGGGGTTGGGGCCCCACTGAAATATTTTTTACGGTTTGGGACTATGATTCAGTTAGTCAAAATTCTAAGTACAAGAGGGGACCAGAAATCGAAGGGCGGGTCGTGACCCCCCTGACCCCTCCCTCTAAATCCGCCACTGGATGTTGTTGTAAATTACTGGCCGGTCAATTAGAACAAAATTATGAAATCGAAGTTTGGATAAAATATACACACACTGGACAATAGAAGTGTCACCCCCTAAATCAGAGTAATCAAAGTAGGCAGATCTTGGGTAGTTATAATGCCTGGTCTACTTATAATGTGACTAATGAGTAAAAAATCGCTGTACCATGGAATTGTATTGTTGGTCTTGCACATGTACAGCAAATGTTATTCCTGTCTTCATCCAATGTGGCAAGATACAGGCAATTATCTAACGATTATAGACATCAAGTTATTAACCTGAAGAGGCGGAATATAAGCAATGTCAGAATATCGATACAGTTGAATTGTTCAGTCAGAACCATGCAAAGGGTCTGGTCTCGGTATAGAAACACTGGATCAAGAGACAAATTGCCTCTGATGGGTCGTCCAAGAAAAACTACTGGCCGTGAAGTCCGACGGCTGATTTTAATGTCCAGGTTGTCAAGGCTCGACACTGCTTGTCAGTTGACAACACAGTGGAACAAATTCACACATAAGAATCTGTCTGTGAAAACATGCTCAGAGTGTACAGCAGGGTAGCAAGACTGAAACCTCTTATATCGTTACAAAACAGGCAACGTAGAGTGAACAAGGGCCAACAGGATCTGGAACTGGACAGTGCATGGCAATTGGTCCTATATAATGTTTTCTGATGAGTGTCACTTTGATCTGATCTCTGATGACAGACGGGTCCGTTGCTGGCGAACTGCTGGTAAAGCATTTGAACAACATGCACTGAATTTTCGAACCCGGAGCAGCATATCCATCATGGTGTGGTGCTGCATCAGCATCAATGGCGTGTGTGATGGAAACATGAATCACCAGAAATACACACAATCGATGTTTTGGAGTCAGGCTTGCTACCATCTATTACTAACATGTTTGGTGACAGGAATTATCCATTTGTTCACCAGGATGACAATGCTCCTTGTCACAGACCCAGAGCAGTTGATGATTGGTTTGACCAACAGGACATTCGCAGGGTGATGAGGCCTGCCTAGAGTCCGGATGCAAACATAATAGAAAATGTGTGGAATGATATCTCAAAACTTAACAAATGCCCGTCCAACCAGCAGACAAATAAAACTCTGTTAGATTCAATGTTTCATGCTTGGGCCAGCATAAGCCCTGAACGCATCAGACAACAGGCCCGTAGCCAGCAATTTCAAATGGGGGGTTCGTTTTCTGAAAATGTGGACCTTTTACCACAAAAACCTTCATGTACCTAGATCAAATTTTATCCAAAGTGGACCTTTTCCCAGCAAAAAGGGCAGTTCTTTT